CTCCACTCTCTCCACTCTCACCACTCTCACCACTCTCACCACTCTCACCACTCTCACTCTCACTCTCACTCTCACTCTCTCTCTCGGACCCCCCAAATAGGGGGGTTGGCGGCACCAGGGCGCTAGCCCATTCTAATATATATATATATATATATATATATATTATTATATTATATATATTATATATATATATCTATTATATATTATATATATATATATATTATATATTATATATATTATATAATTAATTTAATTAAATTAATTAATTAATTAATTAATTATATGTTATATTATATATACCGGTTGATCGGTTGATATAGGGTTAATATTTTTAAGTGTAACATTTTAAAAAAAGGTACTCCTGAGTTTGGTGGTGAATCATCAGCATCCCCATTAAATGCCATTGTTTACAGTATCTTTCGATGCGGCCACAGCAAAGTCAATTCTATACCGTGATAATCGTTAACAAATGTTAGCACGATATGTTGACATGATATGTTGACATGATACAGTATGTTGACATGATATGGTATGGTATATAATATGATATAATTAACATGATATGATTCGGCAATTCGGTATTCGACATATTTCGACCTGATACGTGTTCAATCCCTGTGATCCTACACGCTACGTTGTAAATCAAAGGTATCACAGCCCTGGGCCGCCCACCTGCTCTTGGGCTTGGCTCAATGATCCCTGCAGATTCTTAATGGTCGCAAGGTTCTCTTCCTGTGGGGCTGCTACCGGGATGCGTCTCTTATAGGGTCTTCATCAGGACAACGGACATAAGAAGTCAGAAAATGTCCATGTCCACTAAATCTGGTGAGTCGAAAACCAAACCCGTTCCTACTAAGGTGCGATGTTTCAGCTTGTTGCGATCCGTGGCCGACCCCGGGTGGAAGAATCAACCATCCTTTCCAAGGTGTGAAAATGGACAGTAACTCATGGGCAAACATCACTGGCTTTGAACAGGTGTTTCTTCTCCTAGTGTACAAGGATGTAGAACGCTATAAGATGGCATGAGCATGGACAAATCGTAAGGTCCCATTGTGAAACCAGGCAGCCGGCATCCCCTCCATCAAAACGGTTGGACGAACCGTGAGTTGCTACCATTGAGGTTCAGCAAATCAAAAAGAATGTGCCTTCCTGGTTTGCTGATAAATCCCCCTGTGGTAGATGGTCTGCCTACTGAAAAAAGGTCTGCCTAGTGCAAAAACGTGCTGAATTTCCCATTGCCACTGTTGATTACAAGAGTGTATCCATGAGTTGTCTAAAAATGGACGCCAAAATCCAGCGCATGGCTCGCATGATCATCCTTTCCCCCACCAGGTTCGACCCCAGTCCGCCTTGTCCATGACCAAGTCTGCCACCGCAGCACGAGCAGCAGTCAATTGCTCCTGGCACGATGTTGATATGATGGCTATCTGAAACTATCACCATCATAGGAATCATAGGGGGATATGATGATCGCTATCTATCCCCCTCATAAAATCAACCCATTTTCCTACCAAGGGTTGCCAAGTTCAGGATTGCTTTGCTAGCTGCAACTTGGGGTGAGAACTACGGTTCTAAAATGACTAATTACGAATGAGGTCTGCGTCACAGTGTGTTTGAGTAACGTCTGGCAACATGTACAAAAGATCCATGTGCCAAACTGGTTTCCAACGGTTTCAGACTGGTTTTGGCTGGTTTCCCACCATCTTTTCTGGCGTCTCTGCTTCAAGCACCGTGAATCTTGGGTGATCTTTGGAGGAATATGTGATGAGGGGTCACCAGTTTTGGACGTGTTGTTCACATTTTGAATCGGATCCAAGCAAACTTCAGAAAGTCTTGGGTTTGAGCTGCCAGCCCACCAAAGTTGTCATATCCAAAACAAAACTTCCAAATCTCTGGAGAGAGCCATGGGTTGTCAGATGTCAGCAGGATGATTTGGGTCTCTGCCATCCCCCTTTGTCCTGCAGATCTTTGACCTTGGGCCATTGTGCAGGCCCCAAAATGTTGAAAAATGTTGAAACATGTTGGAAAATACGACCCCCCAAGAGGCCTAAGAAAAAAAAAACTGAACAGATTGAACACCTTCATTCGCCAAACAGGCCTCACCGGGTGGCAACTGAGCTCGGACCCGCGCCTGGGAACTGTCAGCTTCCGCGGCGGCCAAGTGTGCAAGGATCTGACAGTTTCGCGCCTGGATCAACATGTGCCCTTGACACCCACTATACCCACTGTTTCTATCTGTTTGTTTATCTGTTGTTTATCTGTTTTTGTCTGTTTTTTTTCCTTTTTTTATCTGTGTTTATCTGTGTTTAGCTTAGCTGATTTTATCTGTTGTTTATCTGTTTTTTATATGTTTTCTCTGTTGTTTATCTGTTTCTTTATCTGTTTTTATATATCTGTTGTTTATCTGTTTGTTTATCTGTTTGTTTATCTGTTTGTATCTGTGTTTTATCTGTTTTTATCTGTTGTTATTTGTTTTTATATGGTTTTATCTGTTGAGAAAAATCATGTGTTGCAGCAAGGTGGCATGGCATAGACATGGCTGTGGTGGACATTCTGACAGGTGCCTGACGCAGGGCGCCCTTTTGGCTAAGGGGAAAACTGCGCCATTCCCCCCGCCGCGCCGCCGGTGGGTTTTTGATGGTAAGCGGAGCCAGGTTCGACCTGGTGTCTGCCTGGCGCTGCTTTGGAGCTGCGCTGCGGTGCGCCTTCCTTCTTTCGCTGTGTGGCGGCGGCGCTGCGCAGCCTGGCATTGATCTCGCTGCTGGCTGCTGGCTGGCTTCCGGATCGTCGCCTATGGCAAGTTGCACGACGATGGCAAGTACCAGTGGAAAGCTGGATGTGGACAGGTATGGGGTGCCGCAGTATAGCGGCGACAGTGACTTGTTCGAAGAATACTGTGAGCGGGCATGGGACTTGTGGCATGGTAGGGAAGGCCAAACAGGTCTCCAGGTAGCTTCAGCAGTTCACTTGAGGGCCGGACTTTCCGGCGCAGCATACGATGCAGTTAGAAAGTTGGGGCATGACAGACTGAAGACAAAGAATGAGAAGGGAGACCCAACTGAAGATGGTATGAAGTTGCTGTTGGATACTCTGAAGGAATCCATAGCCTCAGAGGTTCCAGTACGTGTCAATGAACTGTTTCTGAAAGCCTTCTATGACCCTAGCGTTTGGAGGAAAGCTACCGAAACCATGCAGCAGTTCATAGTCAGGCGTGAGCAAGACTTTCACAGGTTGGAAGAGGTCTTGCCGAAGAGCTCTGTGCCTGAGCAGGTCCGAGCCATGATGCTTTTGACGTTTGCCTTTCTGGATGCTAAGGAGCAACTAGCAGTGCTTGCGTCCTGTGGCAATGAGTATGACTACAAGAAGCTGGCTCATGCGCTGCGCATCCAGTTCCCGAACTCCATGGGGAAGTATGTGCACAAGAAGGACCTTTTGGGCTGGAGTCAGAGCAAGCGTGACTATGCCATCCCGCATGCACTGAGGTCGAAATGGAAATCTGGTGGCCGTGGCAAGAGCTATGCACTTGCTGTTCATGATGAAGATTGCGAGGCGGACGAGACCTATGAGCATGAGTCCGTCTATGAGGCTGTGTATGAGGCCACAGATGATGGTGATGGAGACTATGTTCCTGCTGACGGCTATGCCTACTCTGATGATGAGACGTTGGACGCCCTTGAAGATTCACAAGCTGCTGAAGCTTTGGCAACCTTCATCCAGAGCAAGTCCAAGAAGAAGGTCTTTGGAACTCCTTCTACAACAGCTACGAGCTCAACTTCGCAGCAGAGCCTTCCCTTCAAGGCTCACGGAGAGATGTCTTTTGAGGCAAAAGCTCGTGAGAACCGTCGCAATGCTGTCAAGTTCCTGAAGACGGTGACACCTTGCACTAGCTGCGGTCGCAAAGGCCACTGGCAAGGAGATGATGAGTGTCCAAACAAGGGCAAGAAGGGCAAAAGCAAGGGAAAGGGTTCCAAGAACTTCAAGAAGTCGCAATCTCTTTCACCCCAGAAGAAGAAGCCTGCCACTACGTTCTTTGTCCTGCACGACAAGATTGAGTCCGATGGCGACCATGACAACGAGCCGACCGACAACGCTTCGCTTGCGCGAGCACCATCAACTTCCTATGAGCAGTACTTGGCTGATGGTGTGGTGAAGTCGCAGGACAATGAGATCAAGTTTCACAGCAGCGTCGACGTTGAGCCCAACAACAACGCTTCAACTTTGTCGACAAGTTTCACTTCAACCTTTTCTACATCAACGCATGAGGTGTTGATGGTGCTGAAAGACGATTCCCTGTGCGAGCACTCTGTTTACCATGGTGGCTCCGAGTCCAAGTTCTTTCGAGGAGCCAACGGCCTGAGCAGGTACATAGCCTGCAAGGAGAGCGACTCTGACAAGGTCGTGATCAGTGGAAAGCGCAAAGAGCCTTCAAGTCTTTGGCGCTACTTGGTGATGGTTGCACTTTGCACCAAATGGGGACAAGCAGCCAGGTCACGTGGACTTTTCCAACGAGTTTGCCAAGTTCGAGGTGAAGCTTTGGATGCCCGAGATCGTCAACAACAACTTGGTGATGCGGCTTCTGGCTCTCCTACATCACCAGCTTCGCCTTCATGGAGTGTCGTTCAAGGACAACCTCCTCGGCAACTACCTGCGTTCTCTGGAACATCCACGCCATCTGATGGTGGATACCCCAGAGCCAAGATCAAGCGGCAAACAGATCAGTGCTTTTGGCTTTATGGTGTTCGTTTGATGCTTGGAGAAGATCTGTCCCCTTTTCCAGATCTTGGTGGCGAAGACTGCGATGTGCTTCAACCTCTACCACATGACGGCATGCTGCTTGGACCTGAATCACAATACCCTGGAGCAACATTTGCTCAAGTTGCCTCATCCCTTGAAGGGAATTGGTTTTGCCAGCATGTACTTGTTGCAGCTCTTGAGAACAAGGAGCCACTCACACCTGAGCACTACAGGCTTGCCTTCTACCTGTACGGCCGAGTGAAGTTGGCACATGCAGCTGGCATGCGCATGACAAAGTCAGGTCAAGACAGTCAGCCTGGCAAGCGGGTTTTGAATCCCGATGAAATGGTGACGAGCAGATGCATTCGCGTTCCTCTCAGCCCAGATCCACATGGCCAACCTGATGGACTTTTTCTCTCTGACTGCGAGGTCATGATGGTTTCTGGAGATTCTCAAGTTGCTGAACAGACCCTTCTTTCTGCACCAGAAGATCCTCCTGGACTTGCCATTTTGGACTCTGGCTGTACGAGGACAATGCATGGTGCGATGTGGTCTCAAGCTTTTGAAAGGGAGCTCAATCGGATTGGACTTACTCCGAAGAGCCGTCCCAAGAATCAAGCTTTCAAGGGTATCGGTGGCCAATTGACCAGTGACACGGTCAAGGTGGTTCCTGTGGGCATTGCGAAGATTCATGGCGAACTTCACTCAGCAGAAACGCCTGGCAATGCACCTTTGCTACTTTCACGCCCCTTTATGCAGGAATTGGGCACGGTGATTGACTTGGGAAGCAACACAGTTTCCTTCACTGCGATTGACATCAAAGGCCTCCCACTCATCCAGACCTCACGCGGTCATCTTGCCATCTCTTTGCTTGATTTCAACCTGGACAAGCTGTCTGAGTTTGAGGAAGCTGTCAGCCCCTCAACCCATGATGCCGGCACCAACGAAGGTCATGAAGCTTTTGGAGTTGATGGACTTGATGAACATGACCAAGTGCCGGAAGGTTGGAATCCTGATGATTGGCATGATGAGTGCGATGCGATGTGGCATATGCGCCAGGATGTTGCCAACTATGAGAAGTTCATGCAAGAACTCCAAGGAGATGGTTGCATCAGTGAGTCGACAGACCCACGATCTACTGGCCACACCACTGAAGATGTCAACGTTTTCAGTCAAAAGGCGCTCTTGAACCTATCCATGATCCACCTGTTGCGGCCTGATCTTTCATGAGTCTTTCTATCAGACATGTGGCATTTTCGTGTGACATAGCATGGCAATCAACGCGATTGGACGCGTAGCCCATTGCAGTTCCTTGGTCAGTAGAAAAGGTGCTCCTTTGTGCTTAGTTGCATGGCTGTGCTCGCCGCTACCGCTTCAAGTGGTAGCGGGGCCTTGTTTCCGTTTTCGATCCAGGTCCTTAGGTGGTAGCAATGGCAGCCGAGTTGGCGTCTCCGCCGAGAGCGCGTCGTCGCACGCGAGCAGCTGGGGCACGTGACTCTGAGGAGTCAGTGGGGTTGGCACGGGTGGCTCCGATGGCAGATCTTGGGCTTGCAGGTGATGCCGGAGCTTCTCATGTCGAAGTTAATGAACATACAGACCAAGGTGCAGCCGCAAGTCAGCCTGCTGCTGACAGATCTGCTCACAGTAGTGGTGTTGTCACTTGGGACTCGCAGGACACTTCCAATGGTGACCGACGCGGGCCTGACCTTTGGCAACAGCGTGGTGATCCTTGGCAGGGTTGGCATCACAGTGGGGGTACCCCTGGACTGTCCGCTGGAATGAGTCTTGGCGCGATGGGTCATCATGGGACTGGTCATGGGCGCGTCGTTCAGGATGGCATAGTCATGATTGGTGGTCAGGTCGTTGGGGTTACTATGATGGCAATGACAATGGGTCGTATCCAGATAGGGTAGGTAGCTGGTGGCGGGATGAATCTGCAGCCGCACTCAATGAGTCCCTGGATGCAAACAGCTGGCCCTTGGGAAGCTGGGATCACTATCGCCTTGATGCCAACAGTGGCGATGAGCAAGCTCCCAGTGAACCAGTGGCTGAAGTGACTAAGGAAACTGCTAAGGATGATGATGCTGATGGCCAGACTTCATCAGCAAAGAAGACTGATAAGAAGATTCCCTCATCTTACCCTTCCGCGTTTTCTGCACAGCCTCATGAGTCATACAAAGAGTGGAAGCGAGCTGTGCAGTGTTCGGTTGCAGGTGGAGGAGGTCTTCTGCCAGCATCAGTGATTGGTCCTCGAGTCCTCTCAGTTCTCAAGGGCCGTGCCTCCATTCTGACTCGGAAGTTGAGCATCAGTGAGGTGTCAAACGATGATGGATTGGATCGCATCTTCAGGACCCTTGAGGCCTCGACCCTGGTGCAGGAGCTTTCTGGCCAGCGTGGTGAGAGGGCCCAGCGTGAGTTCTTGCAATGTCGCAGAGCGGCCCATGAGAGCTTGGACTCTTACTTGATGAGAGTTGAAGCGCAACGTGACTTGATGATTGAGGAGGATCCTGAGTTTGCCATGGGTGAAAGCTTTCTGGTTGGGTATGTGCTGGACAACTCCGAGCTGACGCAGAAGTATAGGGTTCTGGTCATGGCAGCTGCGAACAATCAGTTGACTACGTCTGCTGTGTACCCTGCCTTGAGGCGGATGGGGCCTTTCTTGCAGGGAACGGTTCCAATTGGCCGTGGCTTGAGTGATCGCCCTTTGCTGCCAGAGTTGGTCCCTGACTCAGGCAATGGATCTACAGCATCTGCCAATGGGCAGGCATCGGGAATGAAGCCGCGGTGGCATGGTTCTCGCAGCTATGGTGCTCATGTGGCAGGCGAGTTGGAAGAGCCTGCCGATGATGGTGAGATTGTCCCCGAGGACGCTTCTGATGAGCCAGATGAGATCCAGGCTGTTGAGCACGAGGCTTTGGTAGCAGTTCAGCAAGGGCAAGCCAAGTTGCGAGCCATCCGACAAGCCCGTGGGTACTACAAGCGAAATGAACAGAATGCTAGTGGTGATTCATCCGCCAAGGAACGTTTGCGAGAGCTGATGGCGAAGAATCCATGCCGCGGCTGCGGCGGGTTTGGTCATTGGAACCGAGATCCTGAATGCCCCCGGAACAAAGCCAAGGCAGCAGCTTCTGCCAATGTCATGTCCCAGGAGAAGGCATCGACCGTGGCCAAGGGAGGTGGCAAGAGTCTGAGCAGTAGCAGTGATGTATCCTCGGGCAACAATGCCAATTCCAACTCCACTGTTCCGCATGCTGCTATGTCGGCGGTTTTGAAGAGTTTGTTGGACAACCAAGCCCGCGGAGTATACATGACTAGCGGCTGCAGTGGTTCGTGCACGGACATTTCCATCGATGCATTGTTAAGTAACCATAAGGGTAATCCATATGACGGCATGATGATTGTAGACATTGGGTGCATCCGCTCCGTAGCTGGCATGCAGTGGATTGATCGTGAAGTCACAGCTCGTCGCAACTTGGGAAGGTATGTCTATGTTGAGAGAGTAGCTGATTGGTTTCGTTTTGGTGACGGTGTGCGTCGATTGTCGCGGTATCGTGTGTACCTAGAAGTAGCCATCAAGGGTCATGTAGGTCTGCTTCCAGTGAATGCCATCGATTTTCCATGTCCTCCATTGTTGAGCAAAGCAGTTTGCAATGTGTTAGGCATGTGCATCGATTGTGGATCCAACACGTGTGAGATCCGGAAGCTAGGAGAGCGCAAGTGTTTGTTGCATGTTTCCAGCGAAGGGCATTACCTTTTGCCCATTTCCGATTTCAATCCCAGGAATCCCAATTGGAAGACACTCACTGAAGACCAGCGTCTCAAACCCAAGATTGACAGTGATGATGTCCGTATGTTTGAGGTCCGCAGTGGTGTAGCTGTTGGAAAGGGCTCTAGAACTCGCAAGTGTACCAGTGCTCTGACCAGTCATGGCCTCGCATCGTCGCCATCCGGTGGAAGTGCCGATTCACTCCGAGCCAGATGTCTCCGAGATCAGTTCGATGGCGATGCCGGAGGAGGAAGCGTGGCTGTCAGAGGAGGATGCCAGCATGACATCGATGCGACGAAAGCCAGCCAAGCAGAGGGGTCGAGCATCGACAACCACGACAGCGCAAAAACAGAAGAACCAGTCCAACCAGGCAGCAGCCTCCGTTGCAGAGGAGGAGCCAGGCCAGAAGGTCAAGGGCAAGAAGGTGAGCACCAAGTCCAAGCCGAAGCAGCAGCAGTTGGCTGCGACCACGGGGCAGCTGGCCGACTTTCCGCTGCTGGGCATGACAAAGTCCTACGACCCGGTGTTCACTGCCTCTTGGATCGTGCACCAGCGGATGATTTGCCACAAGTGGAAAGCCTTGGTGTGGATGTTGAAGGTGCGCAAGCGTTGCATAGTCTTGCGCTGCTGAAGAATGTGAGTGATGCCCGCGCTGAGAGAAGGTTTTGTGTGATGGAAGTCTTTGGGACTTCCCTTAGTTTACATGCCTCTGAGAGCTCTGATTGGACCGCAGTTGAGCCAGTTGATCTTTTGACTAATGTAGACTTGAGCAAACCTGAAGAACAGCGTAGGGTTTTAGATCAGATTGACTCACTGGAACCTGATTTGTTGGTCATCACCCCCCCTTGTGGTCCTTGGAGTTGCATGCAGGCCATTAATGATCAGGATGTGGTCGTGTGGAAGCGTCTCATGGATTATCACTATTGGACCTTCACTAGGAAAGCTTGGGACCGTCAGGTCGCGGCCGGTAGATTGTGTATCACTGAGCAACCGTGGCTAAGTAAGGCGCTTGTTGAAGGTGATGGTTCAGAGACCGTGCTTGCACCGTGCCATTGTTGATCAATGCCAGTTCAATCTCATTGATGCAGTGTCTTGCCAGCCCATGCGAAAACGAACCGTGCTAGATTGTAACAGGGCTAGTTTGGCACATGCATTGGAGGAGGGCGCACGATGTTCACATCAACCATCAGAACATCAACCCATTGAGGGAGTTGTGAGAGTAGGAGATCACTGGGTTCGTAGGTCGTTGTTGGCGGGTATGTGGACGAAAGAGTTTTGTTTGCACATTTTGTCGGCAGCATCTAGGGCATTGCAAAGCACAAGTGAAGTAGCGCACACACCAAGTTTGCTGGTCGCTTCGAGCGATCCTGATGTGAGTCATGACATGTTTGACCCATCCAATGTATGCAGCAAGTGTGGGGTGCCTTCGCAAGAAGCATGTGTTTGTGCATATTGCGGCGATTATTTGTGCCATGTGAGTTGTGCAACAAGCCATCGATGTGTCAAATTGCCTTCATGGAAACCATCTCACGAAGAGCCAAACACCGGTTTTCTGTCTTGTGTTGCTGATGTAGATCCACCTTCTGAACATGTGGTTGGGGATGAAGATCAACAGACTGAAATTGCCATCAGAAAGGAATTTCAACGACTTCAGCAGGAGGAAGATATGAGAAAAGGTGATTTTAGCGGTGTAGGTTCACGATATGGGTATATCCGTTTTGTTGGTCCAGCACTTCGTTTGCCCAAAGAAGTGCGCAATCAGTTGGCCAAGTTGCATGGTAATTTTGCACATCCCAGTAATGAACGGTTGGCACGAATGTTGCAGATCAATGGAGCTTCCAAAGCCATCATTGAAGGAGCCAAGTGCATTCGATGCAGTGTGTGCGAGAGGGTATCGGCTCCTCGATCAGCACCGCAGACGACAGCCAAGGCTCCAACACGATTCAATCAACAGTGTTCATCCGACAGTTTCTTCGTTTATGATTGCACTGGCAGCCGTTGGAATATCACACACATTGCTGATGGTTTTTGTTCTCTGCAGTACGCCATTGTTTCCAAAAATCCGTGCAGCAACACCAGTAGTGAACTTGTTTTTGAGCGATGGATTTTGGTGCATGGGCCGATGGAAACTTTGTACGTCGATGGAGGACCCGAGTTCAAGGGTCAGTTGGAAGCTTTGTGTAGGTTGTATGCCGTCCATTTGGAAGTTTTGCCAGTAGGATACAAGTGGAAAGCCGGTCTGGCTGAGAGACATGGTGCAGTGTTGAAACTCATGATTCTTCGTATGATTCATGAGTTGAGCCTTTGCACCGACAAGGAGCTGCGCTTTGCAGTCGCCATGGCCTGCCAGGCCAAGAACCGGCTGCTTAGGAAGTGTGGTCGTTCTCCCATTCAGGTGACACAAGGTCAGGATCAGGTGATTCCATCGTCGTTGTTGCAACAAGTAATAGATGGCGACATGAAGTATAGCACTAATGCAGCCATTACCACAGATGAGGAAATCAATAGGATGGAACGAATCAGGTGTGCCGCCATTTCTGCATTTCATTGGTTAGATAGTCATGAACGACTCAGAGTAGCATTGAACTCCAGATCCAAACCGCCAAAGCTTGTGGCCTTGACGCCTGGCACTCAGGTGTACTTTCACAAGCCTCCTGGTCAGCATCGTCGCCTTCAAGACAATGCCACTGGTCAGCAAGGACCAGCAATTGTTGCCGCAACAGAAGGTGTTGACAAGGTTTGGTTGAGGTATAAAGGAACAGTAGTTCGTGTTGCACTCGAGAATATCCGTTTAGCCACTCCTGAAGAGTCGTTAGATACTCAGTATCTCACCGATGTTTTGACGGAAATGCAGCAAGAGTTGAGCGGCGAACGCCGAACCACCGGGTATGAAGAGTTAACGGATCCTCCACAGGATGCACCCATAATGGGGCATGTTCCATCAAATGAATTGCAGCAACCATCAACAGATGCAACAGTTCCATCACTCAGCATTCCGGCGGAGGAGATGACACCCGAAGTGCAGAGGCAGTTGGTCGTTTCCAAACAGATAGCAGACCGATTAGATGGACACATGATCAAAAGAACACAGCAGCCAGCACAACCTTCTCAACCACGCATGCAAGCCGAACAGCCTGCAGTAGGGGGTCTAGATGGTATTGAAGATGCATTGGTTAAGGATAAGGTAGAGTTTTTCAACCGTGGGGCTGACCCTGCTGTGTGGCAAAGTATTGTTGACCGTGTAAATGACAGTTTGCCAGACGCCAATGACAGTACCCTTGTCCGCGCCAGGCGTCTTCATGATTTGCACCACCTGGATGATCTCACTAGAGTTGGACAAGCCCAGATCAAGCGTGATCGAGGCCTCGATGCGACCTTGTTTGACGTAGCTCTTCACGACAATCGTGAACTCAAGGTGCCGCGAACAGCTGAAGGTGTTTGATGTGTGAAGCTGGTGTGGTTCCTTGGGCTCCAGGGTGGGCAGCAGCAACTTGGGTGCTGACCGCCGAAGCGGCACGCCATTGTGGCGAAGAAGAGACACGGAGAATCATGCGTGAGCGACAAGAGCGTGAAGATCGGCTGATGAGTTTGGAGAAAGGCCTAGATGATGACATCAAAGCAAAGGAGTTAGAGCAATGTGCTCTTGAACGTGGTCACAAGAAGGGGCCCAACCCGGGAGCACGTGGTGAGATCTATGTGAAAGATATGACTTCAGCCGAGATCAGAATGACAGTGCCGGCCTTGGTGAAAGCCCTCAGCATCCATTTTGACCATGACGCCATCCGTCCGATCCCCAAAGGGCAAATTGTGCCAAAGGAGAGGCTCATACACAGCCGCATGGTCATCGTGAACAAGAAGTGGCTTCAAGAACTGTTTGAACCCAAGGGGCGACTATGTGTTGGAGGCCATCGTGACCCAGACCTTGGCAAGTATGAGTCGTCAAGTCCAACAGCCTTGATGGTAGCACACATGGTGCTTCTGGCAGTGGCCACAATCATGGGATGGCCGGTGGACATTGGTGATGTCACAGCTGCTTTTCTGCAAGGTCTGAGCCTGCCTCGAGATGATCCTATCTACATTCGAGCACCAAGCGGGTGCCCCAAGGAGGTGTTGGAGTACTTGGCTTGGCGCCTCGGATATTCAAATCATGCTGAGTTCTTTGAAGCCACCAAGGGCATCTTTGGATTGAGCGAGTCCCCTAGGCTATGGTATTTGAAGTTCAAGGAAGAGTTGGAGAACATCAATTTCCGCGAGTCCAAGTTCATTCCATGCCTTTTCATGAAACACGTGAATGGCAAGTTGTGTGGTTTGGTCACTTTGCATGTGGATGATGCAATGTTGACCGGCTCACCAGAAGTTCAAGCTGATTGGGAAATGTTGCGCAAGAAGCTCAAGTTTGGTAGCTGGACCAGCTTGCATGAAGGAGGGAAGTTTCTGGGTAGGTGGATGAAGCAAAGTGATGATAATCGTCAGATTACCATCACAATGAATGAGTATTCCGCTGCCCTTCAAGAAGTAGAGTGTGATGCATCCTTGCCTGATGATCAACCTTTGGATGCCCAACAGCTGGCTCAGTTGCGTGCTTCGGTAGGGCAGTTGGGGTGGTTAGCTAAGCAAGGTAGGCCTGACATCGCATTTGCCGTTTCCTATCTTCAGCAGAACAGGATTGATGCCACATGTTCCACCTTGCGACTGTTGAATAGTACCATCAAGCGAGCCAAGACTCCGTTTGAAGTTGTGATTCGTGATTTGCAGTGTTCTTTGTCTGAAATTATGGTGCTTGTTGCGACAGACGGAGCCTTGGCCGCGATGCCCCGTGGCAAGTCTCAGTTAGGTTTGATGGTCATGTTGTCCAACCCAAAGGTGCAGACTGAACTCGCCCCTGTTGTGCCAATTGAATGGAGTAGTACATCTTGTAAGAGAGTAGTCCGTAGTTCATCAGCAGTTGAAGCTGCCGCCGCGTCTCTGGGATATGAACATGCAGAGTTCCTACGAGCAGTGCTGTGTGAAATACGTGATCCTGATTTCTCTGTGCGCCAATGGTCAATGCACGTGCAACGATGTCCCATTCTCTTGGTGCTGGACGCCAAAGTCGCCTATGACTGCCTGTCTTCCGATGAGCTGCCTCAAGACCGTCGAACGGCTTTAGACATTCGTGCTCTGAGGGAAGCCTTGGCAGATCCACAATCCGCTTCCTTGTGTCGTTGGGTTCCTGGGCCTCAACAGGCCTCTGACGCTTTGACCAAGCTCAAGGGCAACGGAGTGTTGAACGATATCATGGCATCTGGAAGATGGACTGTGGTGGAAGATGAAACATGGCAGAAAGTGAGAGAGCAGCAGCGGATCAATCAACGTGCGTATAGAGCCCGTGTCAAAGTACAGAGAAAGACTCAACAAGGGCCGGTGGGAGAGTCAAAAGGCGCTCTTGAATCTATCCATGATCCACCTCTCCGCTACCGCTTCAAGTTTTTCCAGCAGCTTTTGACTGAGCAACACCTCACCGTGCGCAAGACCTCCAACAAGAAAGCCAAGAAGCTTGCCAGCCTTTCTGCCGCTGTTGATGGTGATGATTGGCAGAACTACAGAACCTTGACTGGCAAGCGTGCCATCAGCTCAAAGCCTCCCTACGGCAAGACTTGGCTGAAACAACTCTTCGCAGGACAAATGGGTTTGACAGTTTTGTGTGCTCTCGCCGGCATGAGCATCGGCGTCCCTTTGGATTTCTCCAGCACTCAGTGGGATGCAACAACCTCCACTGGAGTCAAGGCCATGAACCAAGATCTTCTCAAAGAAGACCCCTTTTGCTTGGTCATCACACAACCTTGTGGGCCTTGGGGAAATTGGAGCCGTTTCAATTTGGCAAAAGGTGGAGCAGCAGCACTTACGGTACTTGATCAACGTACCGAAGGCCGAAAGATCCTCAAGATGGTCAACAAGACTGTGGTTGATCGTCTCAAGATGAAGCGCCATGTTTTCCTTGAACAACCACGAGGATCCCAATGGCTTGATGAACCAGAGATGGCCGATGTCAAGGCTCTCATCGACTCTGGTGACCTTTTGATGTTTGAGGTCGATGGCTGCTGCGTGGGCTACATAGACTTTGAGACTGGACTTCCGAATCTCAAGCCCTCCATCTATGTCACCTCCATGATTGCGGCAGAGAGCATCTTGTCTGGTTTGAAATGTTCCAGAACTCACCAACATCAGCCCCTAGAAGGAGCCAATGCATTTGGACTTCGCACGGCTCAGGCTGCTGAATGGCCAACCAAGCTCAACAAGCTTGTCATGGACTTAGTTCTTCAACAAGCGGCCATTGAGTTTCATGCACCTCAGGAGATTGCCGAGGTCTATGCTGGTGAGATTCGTCCTGCAGAGCAACAGGGCGGCAGGCAACCCAAGAAGAAAAGGACGGGCAGAATTGCAACTTTGCAGAGCCAGTTCAATGCCCCTCCGGTCTACATCAGACCATCTCAACCTTCTCAACCTGCTGTGCCTGAAGATGAACAACTTGATGTGCCCATCGCTCCTGGCGATGACTCATCCTTCAGAGCTGCCCAAGCTGCTGAGCTTGACCCTGTCCTCAATTTGACGGAACAGGATCGCCGACGAAACTGGCTTACAGTTGATGCTGATGTCCGGAAGACCTTGAGAGACCTCCATGTGAACTTTGGTCATCCAACAAATGTGACCTTGCAGAGGATCCTCCGGAGACAGCGAGCCAGAATAGATGTCATCAAGGCTGTGGATTTTATGTCTTGTGATGTCTGTGGTGAATCACTTCGCCGACGTCGGCCAAAACCAATGCGGCTCCCTGGAAAGTATGAGTTCAACAACCACCTTCAGGTAGATGTTTTCTATGCTCGAGATGCAGCTGGCACTCAATTCAATTTTCTCAACATCATTTGCGATGCTACTGGATTTCAGGTGGTTTCATGTTTGGGCCAATCACAAGGACCTCCAGCATCACGCGCTGTTTTGCGCCACTTCCTGACTACATGGTCATCATGGGCAGGTTTGCCACAATCCTTGCAAGTTGACCGTGGCAAGGAGTACCTTGCTTCCTTCAGCGAATACTTGAAGGAGTTTGGCGTTGAACAGGAGGTCATGCCACTTGAGAGCCCATGGAAGAATGGAAAGGTTGAGAAAGCTGGTCATCTTTGGAAGGAACTCTTTGTGAAGACTGTCAGAGCCATGCAGATCACTGGACTTGAAGATGTGATCCTGGCCACCTCCATTGTCACGCAGACAAGGAATGCTTTTCCAAGGACCAGCGGCTATGCGCCGAACCAGAGCTACGACTTCCAGGTTCTCTTTTACAAGATGGCGAATCAGAGCGTCTTGAAGTTTTGGAAGCATGTGAAAAGCCTGGCTCCATCATGGCAAAGACCGTTGGCATTCGAGAAGCTGCTCGTGTGGCCCAGATCATGCAAGACACTGACAGCCGAGTTCGGCGAGCTCTTTTACACCAAAGCACACCAACCAGAGGTCCTTACCCTGTTGGCAGCTATGTCTACTTCTATCGACTTCAAGCTCCTCCAGGTTCCGACAAGACCTACAGATGGTTTGGCCCTGCACGTGTGGTCGGTGTTGAGCTTCGTAACCAAAGAAGACTTGAAGATCCTGAACCAGCAACAGAAGGAGGACAGCCTCACTCTTATTGGCTGCGCTATGGAACATCAGTTGTGCTTGTTTCTGGAGAACAACTTCGTTTTGCCAGCGAAGATGAGTTGATTGCAGCTCACATGATACCACAGGAGATCCTTGAGCCATCCTATGCCCGTGGTGCCCGAAGCTATGTGGACTTGAGATTGCCTTTGCCTTCGGTGCCCCAACAGCCTCAAGATCCTTCTCCATTGCAATCATCCATAACTCCAGATCCTGCAGTTCCATTCCTTGCGCCTGCTCCGGCAGATCAACAACAACCACAACGACATCAAGCACGAGCACCTCCTCCTTTACGAATGCAACGTCAGCCGACGCTGATGCGGGCCGCACAACAAGTTCCATCAACTGCACATGAAGTTCCAGTACCAAATCCACATGGTGACCTGGGTGAAGAACGTCCTAACCAAAGGACGGGTGATGGTGGACCAACAGCTTTGGACTTTGCGATGAATGACCTTGATCGACTTGATGGTCATCCAGATCCACCAACGCCTACAACTTCGACTTTGCCAACAACCTTGGGCTATGAACCTGTGAGGCAAACACATTCACGGGACCCTGCGCAACCATACCTTGCTGAGGCGGAGGACTGGACTTGGACTTGTCCGATGATGCCGAGTTCCATTCGAGAGCGCAACATGAAGCGCCTGCTCAACAACTATGAAGAGCTCTCTGGATCAGATGTTTCTTCTGATGAAGCTGACCCTGAACAAGATCAACTCCAAGAACCAGCTGATGCCTTCCTGACTGGAAAGGCTGTGCGCTCAGAGGTCAACTTGAAACAGCTGAGCCCAGAAGACAGAGCCAAGTTCGACGCTTCTATGGCTAAAGAATGGGCGTCATGGCAAAAGTTCAGTGCCGTTGAAGTTCTCAGTGAAGAGCAAGTTGCTGCACTGCCCAAAGACGTGCAGATTGTTGGAACCAGATGGGTTCATACCGACAAGAACTCCAAGCCTCGTTTGATGGCTGAAGCTCTTTCCAAACGCACCGGAAAGACCAAACAGCAGATCAGAAAAGAGTTTCCATTTGAAGCAAAATCAAGACTTTTGGTCCAAGGGAACCAGGAAGATGGCAACTCTATTCGCTCTGACTCTCCTACGGCATCACTCCTTTCCTTCAACTTGGTGTGCGTGATTGCAGCTTTAAACAACTGGATCATATGGGCCTGCGATGCTTCGACTGCCTATCTCCAATCACAGGGGATCAGCCGCTTGCTGATCTTGAGATCTCCGAGACCTCCACCTCCTGGCGTTTCTCCTACAGATTTGCTGCGAGCCAAGGGCTCAATCTATGGAACGAAAGATGCTGGGCGCGCTTGGTGGAAGAAGCTATATCGCACTTTGGTTTCTCATGGTTGGAAGATGTCGAAAATCGAGCCTGCGCTCTTTTACCTGGTCATCAAGGGGAAGCTCTGTGGCATTCTCATTACCCATGTTGATGATATGTTTTGCGCTGGCGAAGGTTCCGAGTTCAAGGCCACCATTGACATGATGGAGAAGGAGATTCATTTGAAAGTGAAGAAAGAAGAATTTCGGTTCTGCGGCAAGAACCTTATCCAGCGAAATGGAAGCATCGAGATCGACCAGTTCGACGCTATTGACAGCATCGACTACATGGTTCTTTCGAAAGATCGAAGGCAGACATGCCCGAAAGCTCCGCAACCAATCCATGAAAGCACCCTCAAATGATCCACCAAGGACGGGTGAGAAAAATCATGTGTTGCAGCAAGGTGGCATGGCATAGACATGGCTGTGGTGGACATTCTGACAGGTGCCTGACGCAGGGCGCCCTTTTGGCTAAGGGGAAAACTGCGCCATTCCCCCCGCCGCGCCGCCGGTGGGTTTTTGATCTGTTTTTTATCTGTCGTTTATCTGTTTGTTTATCTGTTTCTTGGGTTACCCTTGATGACATCTGACCATCGAAATGTACCCCTTGACCCACGTGTTGTTGGGTGCCTTTGGGGAGCATTTTCTGATGCCTGCCAACATAAGCCTTCCAGCCTTCCATTTTTTTGGGCCGACACAGGCCTGGGTGTCCCTCCAAAATTGCGACCCCAATGGAGGGCGCCTCAACTTCCGCGAGCCGCTTCTCGAAAAATGAAACCTGCACCAAGCTGCCAGGAACCATCTCAGTTTAAGATCCTGGTGGCTCAAGAATGGGATACCAAAGGACCCAGGCATGTTGGTCAGTGCATGTCAACTCTAGTATTTAACATGATTTAAGCATCCACTTTTTTCACGCCCATAAGCCCGAGCCAGTACCAAATCTCATGGAACCATTGTATCCATCTTTTTGTAGCTACCCTGACCTCCACATCCAAAGGTGAGGATGGCTGGGCCCTTATTATAAGGGGGCTATCGATGGATCCAGAAACTTGGTCTTGATCCATACCCCCATATTTCCCCAACGAGGTCCATAATCCGTTTTCCCCAACAGAATTTGGATGAGGGCATACCGTGCACCATCTTGTGCAGCAATTTAGCTGCGGCAAAACGCTGGGGCTTTCTGAAGCCTTGTCTTCGACTTTAACCAACGCTTGCTGAAGGTCTTGCACCACAGCCTCGCTAAGTTCCTGCGGTGGATGAACCTTTCTCAATCGAGAGAAAAAATAGCATCAAACAATAAGAAGAGAGAGAATCCACAACTTCACACATTGTTGATATCAAAAGGCAAGTTAACTTAAATTTACCATTAAGTCCCATTCAAGGATGCACCTTCGTTTGGGTGTGTACGCTTTTTTCTTGTGCCCAAAATGATCCAAAATGTCAATACTTGTCAATACCTCATGGATTCTCATCATTTTCCCATGAAATTGGGTGGGTGACCGGGTGACCCTCTTGTAATCAAACATTACCATGTCAAAATCTTCATTTATAGCGGATTTCTCCATTCAAACCTCCACTGATGCTGCCACATCGCCATGACGGGTCCCACCTTTTCGGCCTTGAGGCGAGTCACTTCTGCAAGGGCCGCTGCGAGTTGCCCCTGGGCCCCATGGCGGCGGCGGTTGGGGATGGTTGACTGTTCAACAGGTGTGGTGAATCTACGACGGTGTCTGAAGAAGGTGAAATCGATGATGATCTCTTCGATCTCTTCCCGGATTTGCCAATTGTTGTGTTTCCTCTTTGGGTTGAATCTAGCGGTCTGATGAGGTACCTCCAGGGGATTTGAAAAATATGATGTCCCATGAAAATTGCTGATAGGGGCGTCCCAATGGATGGAAGCCGTTGCCACACTTGAAAGCACCAACCAGTTGTGGCACTGCAGTCCGTTTGTCGACTTTGAACCCCCGATCTTTTAATGGAGATTTGAAACGACCAAAGAGCTGTTGGCTCATGGCTGTTTGATGATTTCCCAGGTTTTGCTGATGATATCATGACATCGCCATCTTTTTATGAGCATTTGCAACCATCCACCAGAGCTGAATGATCATCAAAGGTGCCTGCGAAAACTCTTGTTGGGTCTATCCAAAAGTAATGGCGCAATCCCCTTCATAAACCTCTAAGTGGGGATGTCTATAGCTTCTATCATCCATAATTTCTGGTAAATTTGGAGATGGTCTATTGTCGATTTACAAAAATTAAGAGAACCCCCAAATCTGGGCAAAGGGTGGAAAAATCGGCATCCCCAATGTTTGGAAAAGTCCGCTGCGGCCTCAACTTCGACAAGCTGGCCCTGCAACTTTGGAACCTGCACCCAGGTACCCAGGTCAAGCGTGTTTTCATGCTGGCCTTCCCCCTACTTCTTGCAGATACATTCCCCGATTCAAGCCAAAAAAATAGATTGATTTTTTCAAATTTCAAAGAAATCTTCAGGAGAATATTGCTGTGTTGATTTTAAATACGGATTCCCAGTTCATGGATCATGATCATGCGTAACTATAGGGGGTAGTTTGGTTTCCGTCCTCGCTGTGGTGTTCGCAACGTTCACCCCGCCTCTTCTTGAGCCAGCCGCAGGGAGTTCTGGAGATCCGTCACCTCCACTTTGTTTTGTTCCTGCGGAAACCAGGAGCCATGGGAAGGCAACAGTTGTCCAGCTCCAAACCTCTCATCACAGCCAAAACGGAGTTGTTGACGTTTACAGTGCCAGGCCAAAATTCCCAAGATCGACATAATATACTGTGTTCGAATCTTCATTTGCCCGCGCAGCCGCACCGCACCAGCCTCATCACATTCAAGCTTTTTGTAAACCGGCATTTTGCAATCTTTTGCGCTGTTTGAATATGTTGAGCCGAAATGGCATCCTTTAGAATTACAGTAGAAAGAGCGCTGCTAAAAAGGGAAAAACATGGAAAAACACTGTCAAGTGAGAGTTTCCGGAACTTTTTCGTGGCGCAATTCTGGGGCAGCTTTAAGTCCAAATGGGAGGAGGCTTGCGTAGCGCGCCAGCACGTGTGTCTGGGGCACTTGCTGCACAGGCCAATGATCGGATCTCCGGGAACCGATGCAAAATTATAGACACATTTTTTTGCACACTTGGGTGGTGGCTCTCAGTTTCCAATCGAATGATTTCTGCAGCAAACGTTTGCTTGAGACGCAATGCACCCCAGTCCAAATCGTCGAAGACATTCAGCGAAGCTCCGAGAACTATCGTTTGCCCCCTTGGGTCCAATGAATTGTTGTGTTCTATCCAGCAGGTCAACAAGTGGGTGATTGCTCCAGGGTTGCTCGCCCACCATAGTCGAAAAGCCGGTGCGCCGGCGTCGAAGATGCACATGACACCTCAGGGCTCCAACATTCATCCGTGCCATGACCATCAGTTGGTCACACTCGGCATTCAATACCCTCAACATGAACTAGCTGAATTTTGCATGTCTCATGTGTTGGCTTCAACTGAAGAATGTTCTTTACACTCTTCAAACCATGTTCCAGAAGAACACAAGTGAATGCTAGTGATCTGTTTCTAACATAGTTGCGCCTCGAAACCGCGCGAAGAGTTGAAAGCGGTCCCGAGCAAACACTTGCGCGCACTCCTCCGATGGAAGCTTCTCTTTGTTGTAAACAATATCTGCAGCTGCCTCGATTGCATCAGGCCTGGCAACCGATTTACATTTTCAAGTGCGGTCTTCCCTGCCACGCTACACTTTCACAGTCTGCCATCTGAGGGATTGGCGTTTCAGGTCGGACAAGCTGCACAAGGTGAGCAACAAAAGCCTGGGCCAGGGGCCACCCAAAAAAAACAATGCGCAAAAACGAATCTCAACAAAGCGCAGCGCAGGCCTTCGGTGAGTAGTTCTCACGAGCTGTGGCTCGCTGAGCACACAGTGCCGGCACATCAAGATAGGATGATATTTGGTTTCTCAACCTTAGGGCTGAGCAAAGCCTTTACCCAGATCTGAGTCGCTCAACTTGGATTTGTGATTTGCGATTCAAATTGAAATCAGCAAGCCGGCTGTTCTGCCCAAGACACTCAGGAAGCCAGAAACTAGCAGAAAGTTGCGCTGGCTTCCTCATTCAGCGAAGGGGCCATCACACTCTTTTGGTTCAAGGGCACAGTGCCAAGTTTCATTTTAATGGAAAAGTGAAGAATGGTCTCTTGGAAACTTCACAACTGCAGATCTACCCAACCGAACCTTGGGGCACCAGATGCAAAGGCCTTAGAAATGAGTCAGATCTTTGGTGCACAACTACAGTAAATCCAGCAGAAAAAAAAAACGAAAACGATTCTAATAATGTCCGAGTTCTGACCCGCTGATTCATGGGCCGTTGATCCCTGAGACCGACCTTGTCGGCTTCGGAATCACTAGGTTTCATCAGGGCCACACCTCCGCAGCGCTTGGCTCAATTTAGGCAACCAAATGTGAACACCTTGATACGAGTGGATGCTAGCTTCAGCTGAAAGTGGGCTATCCACCGAAATGGCATCAAATGGCAAGCTTGTTGGCGGATATGATGATAAACCATGGGACTTCGGGGTGGGCACAAGATTGAAAATGTTCCGACAAACCCATATAGTAAGTGTTAACGAAGAAAACAAGGAGGTTGCATTTTGATCCTGACATGATTCAAACAATTCAAACGTTAGACTATGTTACAGACTTTGCATTGCTCGCCGACAAAACTGGGATAGTTGGCTGGCTTCAAAAGCTACAGCAAGGGTGCAAACTATTTTGTCTCAAAACCGTGGCCTCAAAGAATCAGTTTAACCAGGGTGGAACTTCCAGAAGTTTTCGCCGAGTTTAGGAGCCATTTTCTCCGAGGGTGTGCATGTCAAATCTCAGACAGTTTTAACTAAATTATGTTCATCTTCTAAACATGTCTTAACTGGTCCTCTGTAACTCCTGTGAGAAGCTCAAGGCCATTGTAACTCTCAAAAATGAAAAGATTTGACTAATGTCGACTCAAGACTCCAGAAATTAGAAGATCAAGAAGCCAAGACATGGCCCGTAGTTTCTGACGCTTCACATCTTGGTCGATTGTCCACTCCATCTCAACCCCAACCCACCCCATGTGTTCATACCATCTTCAACCTGTATGCTGTTCGAAACACAATTTAAAACTAGTGGTGCAATTGGCCAGCCCCCCAACAGGAATCGCCACTGTACTCTTTAAAACATGTGTTCGAATTGTATCTGTCACTTCATCACGTTGTGTAACTCGTAACTCCCTACGTCGGTGGCCCTTTGGCCTTCACTTGCAGTACCGCTGCTGCATTGCCTGGATCGTGGCAGTCAGACAAGAGTTAAAATGTGAAAGATAGAGGTTTGGCGCATCACAGAAGACATGTGCCTTCCCCTATTTTTTTTACGTACAGCTTTCTACAAGGCCAGGAGACTCAAGGAGGATCTCAGCCTTATCGTATCCGGAAGTCCTCGCATGAAGTTGCTGAATCAAATACCTAAGGCCAAATACCTTATATTTAATATTATTGTATTATATTATGATATGACAAAATCATCATAACCGGTGACTGACCAAAATGACTTTTGATGTACTCTATCTGGTCATTTTTATTGCAGAATGAAGTAGAATGCATGCCATCTTCTGTCCACGTCCTGACAGCCAAAACGCATCCACTAGAACGACCCTGCCTCCCACGATATACGCGCTTGTTTTCCTCGGGTACCTGCCAGAAACAAAGTTGGATATCTTCACCATATGTTGCCTTAAGTGGCGAAGGAAAGCATGGTGCTTCCCTATTGCCGCAGTATTCCGCGAATTTTTTACGTACGCTTCTCCGAAGCTTGGTTATTGCAGTCCCACCTTCAGATGTAATTACTTCTGCTGTTGCAGATTTGGCCTGTCTGATATGTCGGATTTTACTACGGATGCACTTTTGCTCGGATTTTACTACGGATTGTAGCAGTCATTCTTAGGCAGACACCAAAACACAAGTTCAAAACTCATGCTGATATGGCTCGGCCTTGTCATTTTCCTCCTTTGGGTCACCCGAGGATGGTTCAGGCAAGTCTTGGGCAGGTTGCAAAAGAGTTTAGTTCTCGCTTCCCTTCTTCCCTTAGTTGTGTCTGTCACGTTATATACATCGATACCTGTAGGCACAAAATTTCTTGGATTTGCTTGTCTTGTTCTTCGTGGTAAAATCATGGATACGCAGGCTGGTTTCTCCTGATGTTTTCCTGGTGTTGGTTCGAATTGATGATCAACTGTTCATCAACATTGTGCTTTTTGCCAACCTCTTCCAGTTTTCGCAAGATATTCATCTGTGGCCTTCACTATTGTTGGTTGCAACTTCTCTCATGTCTGGGTTTTAGTTTTTGTCGATCTACAATCTATATACAGTACTGTAGACTGTAACTGTTCGTCGAAATGCTGGCTCTGCAAACAGTGTCCCGGGTTTTTGTTTCTGTCAAGTGTCAAATCTGGCCCACAGCTGATGTGCTGATGCCTACATTCATGTTTACCCAGTTTTTGCTCCAAAAAACGTCCCTCATCCAGAGTCTCTTCAGTGTTCGTCAGGCATATTTTGTTTCTCTTCAGGTTCTTGTTTCGTATTGCGCAATGCATGACACAAACCTGTGAAGACCATTGCGATCTTTGGGTCCTTTGATCGAGTTTGTATGTTAACTGCGCGTTGGTGACGGGAAAGGTGTTTAAAAGACAACAAAAACCAGAACTTGCCCCAGGTGTCTAAACCCTTGTCTTTGCATGTTTTTGTGATGTAAATGTCGATTCATGCTTTGGCGGAGAAATGTTTGATTGTATGACGACTCAACCCTTCGACAGCGCCACTAGAACATGCAAACAAAATGGCAAGCGCCTCAGATGTGCCCTGTATGTCGGAGCTTTCCGTCGCAGTCGCCTACGTCAAATGCATCAACAAGTTGCAATGGAATTTGAAAGGTGCCTGTCAAAAAATCCTACTATGATGCAAAACAAATGACCTCATCACTTGGCTATCTTTGTTGCAGCAGGGAAAAAAAGCTGCGACAGACAGGTTTACCTCTTGACTGTGACTGACAAGACTTTGATGTTGCACTTGTTCATCGTCACCCGTGGAGCCTCATCGCCAAACGAACCATCGTCACTAGGAATCTTCGTGCTGTCCGATCTGTCTGAGTCTTGCGAACCAATAGAAAGCCTGACGGCAAAAAATAGCGAAGTTGTCCAGTATGACAACTGCACTTGGCTGGGACAGGATTGCGAACTGCCAAGCCGCCTTTGCTCTTTCGACGTCTCCTTCTCATCAACCTGCCACATCAGGAAGTAGCGTTCTGATGGCTTGGGGAAGATTTAGGAAGTTTAGGAATTGACATCACCCAATCCTAGGCCAGGGCCTTTCTCTTCGACACATCCACAAATGCAAGTCCAAACAAAATATCAAACTCAAAAATCATGTTGCTGTCGCTCGGCCTTGTCATCTTCCTCTTCCTTGTCATCTTCCTCTTCGAGGGGAGCCAAGGGTGGTTCCGGCAAGTCCTGAATAGGTCATACAAAAGTGTTTCGCGTACCCTTTTTTCCCTATATAGTTGTATCACCTTGCGTCTGGTGGCAAATGTTCCGCGTTATGCTTGTTCTTAATGGTAAAAAAAATCATTTAAAAACAATATATATATATATACATATATGCTGGAAGGTGCCTATACTTTCCTGATGTTTGTTCGATGCTGATCGTCCACATGCTAATGTTTTGCCAACACTTCATTCAGGTTTGGGCTTGCTAGCGATGGGCAACTGTTCTTCAACACGGCAGGTTTCGTCCTGCTTTCCGTAACTGGCATGTGATGTGGAAAGACACGCGCTTTACCCATCACTTTTGCTACCTTTTGCAATTGTACATTTTCTGGTGAGGTTTTGCAAGACGTGGTGATTTTTGCTATTGCAACCTTCGTGCTGACTTCATCACGCATTTTATCTTCACACTCTTGTTTCGTACTGCGCAATGCATGACACAAACCTGTGAAGACCATTGACTATTGCAATCTTTCGGTCCTTTGATCAAGCTTGCATATTAACTGCGCATACCTTTTTTTCATCTTTTTTCCCTATATATGGTTGTATCACCTTGCGTCTGGGGACACAGTCCAAGTCCCATGTCTGTCTGAAAATTCACCGTCCTTTACCTGTCACATCCTGTCTCTCATATGCACAAATTTCTCCGGAACAACGGAAACATAAGAGATGCACACGCGGCATTTGATTTGTTTGCATGTTCAATGTCCTCTTAATATATCCACGATAGTAGTCTAGGATAGTTAGCTTGCAGTAAATAAATCATTGGTACCGATTTGTACCACTTCCTTTGGACAAAGGTTAGTGCAGCAGTCCTCAGGCACTGCCGGGGTCAGCCGTATGGCAGCAGCTTTTGAGGCTGTCGACGAGTCAGTTTGCCTCCGTGACAATGACATACCCTTGGGCACAGTGCATCATGCGCATCGCTACTCCAAATCATCATTAAAACTTCAAATGCTTTCACAAAACAAACAGTTTGATCTTTAACGGTGCGCTTCAAAGTACATGAAGCCGCCATTCAACAGCCTCTGTTCAATCCTTTGGCTCTCGGCACCACAAGGTGAAACGTGATCCGAGAATGCTGCAGGGTCCTGGGATGCATCACAAAGCCGAACATGATTCAAGCCGAGATCCCTATAAGAACATTGAATGTCTGCGTTCTTTCTCCTCATGCAAGGCTTCTGGTGCATCAAACACAGCCTGGCACAATCATGTACAATTGCAAATTGAGGCCTCTAGTTGCAAGTGTTCCCGTCAAAATGCTTTGCCGTGACATGGCGACCTTTAAGTTGTTTCCTGGCCTCTAGGTCCTTTGGTTTCGCAACGCCGTTCCGGCAACTGAGTATGAAGACCTGAACCACGTGAAAACAGAATAAATTTATGTAATGCAGGGGATTTGTCATGAATTCGACAAGTCAAGAAAGAGGCCTCAAGGAGCTTCACCAGTGCCTAGCAAATTTGGAAACACCTGTGCAAACCCTTGCAATCCTTAGGGTTGTATTCACGTTCGTATGCCAGCCGTGCGTTCGTGACCGGAAGGTCGGAAAGGTGCTCCAAACAGTGCAAAGCATACAAGAGTAACTTTTTAATGTGAGTTATGTATATATGATTACAGTAGATAACTGCATGTCTTGGCGATGTAACTGTCAATTCATGCTTTGATGGAGAAAGGTTTGATTCTACGATCGTTCAGCCCTTCGACTGCCCAAATAAAATGGCAAGCGCCTCAGACGTGCCGTGTGTGTCGGAGCTTTCCGACTCAGCAGTAGCCTACAATGCATCAACAAGTTGCACTATGATGCGAGACAAATGGCCTCATCACTTGGCTAGTCACTGCTATAGCAAAAAAACGCTGCGGCGTCACCCTTGTGATTTGGCGGAAAAAAGATCTGATGTCACACTTGTCATCAGTATCCATGGAGCCTCATCACCAAAGGAATCATCAGTAGGAACGTCTGTGCTGTCTGACTCCATCTCCTCGTCAACCTGCCACAGTAGCAAAACCTGAAAATTGTCTTTTAGGGGCTCAGGAACGTTGATTCCCAGTTTTTGTTTCTAGGCCTTGTGCCAAGTTTTGCTTTGGGATGTATCCATCCATCTCGCATACTGAAATAGTAAAGTTTGCAGGGTGTAAAATACTGCCAAACATATCAAATATTCACTTGCGAGCGATATATGCCCCTGTGTTCACCAGCCCGTCGTAGGGAACCACGTAACAGGCCCCAGAATTTAATCTGCTTAAGTGGCGAACGAGAGTTGCGTTTTTTTCACACTTCTCTGAAGATTGGTTTCTGCAATCCCATCTCCGGGTGTATATACATCTGCTGTTGCCGGTTTTTCATGTCTGATACGAATGAGATGAGCTTCAATACGGATGCCCTTTTGCCATGGGTTTGAAAAGGTCTTTGGGAATGCAAGTTGCAGGGTGTCAGACATTGCCAAAAATACATTCGGTTTGAACCCTAAACAAACTTTTCTCCAAAACTTTCCGACGGTTTGCCTCGGCATTCAGCTTCCTTGCATCTTGAAGTTGTTCTTGAACCTCCTGTGGAGCAAAGTTGAAATCTCAATTGAAGACAAAGATGCACTTCTCATACAGTGTCCACATCTGCCAGCCTGTGATTTGATGAGTTCCTGTTCCAGGACAGCCTCACGAGCCATTGGGTCTTGGTGGTGAAAATAGATTGATATTGTCATTATACCCTACAGTAAATAGAAGAAACCTATGAAACCGGACTACCCCAGGAAGTAAGTCTTTAAATGAAACATGTGGAACACTTTTGGATATTCAGTGTTGCTCCAGTCTGGCATATGGTGACGCGCGATCCTCTCTTCATGTGTTTTCGCGTTCCGAGACGCCTCTGCAGTGTGCAGTTGCTCCTCCACATCGTTGATTCGATCCAAGCCTTGAAAGCTGAGAAGTCTCATGTGGTAATCAATTAATTACTATATAAAGCTGGAACGTCCACACTTCCAGTACGCGAATTATGTATCCATACTACTTGAGGCCAAAGGGAAGGGGACGAAAGCTAGTAAGGGGGTGCCAGGGCGTGAGGCATGGTAGTGGGAGGATGGGAAGGCAAAGGCAATAGTACATAAGAAGGTGAGATGTGTATCTGATATGGTGTGCTGTCGAGGATGAGGAAGTTCAGGGAGAGGCGGGCCTGCGACTTTGATACCGGTACTTTCTCAACGCAATTTGAAGCATCCAAGCTGGTACCGCTGCTTTTCAAGACAAATTTGAAGCATCCAATTTGGTACCGCTACTTCTGCATCCCAATTTGGTACCACTACTTTCGCAACGCAATTTGAAGCATCTAATTTGGCACTGCTACTTTTGCAACACATTTGGCGCTACTACTTTTTCAACACAAGTTTGAAGCGTCCAATTTGGTACCACTATTTTTGCAACACAACTTTCAAACAACCAATTTGGTACCGCTACTTTCTCAAGGCAATGTTGAAGCAATTTTTCCACACAATTTTGAAGCATCCAAATTGGTACCGCCAAGATGTCAAGAAACTACCAATTTGGAACCACTACTTTCTCAACGCAATTTGAAGCATCCCATTTGGTTCCGCACTTTTGCAACACATTTGGCACTGCTACTTGCGACTTTCTCAAAACAAGTTTGAAGCATCCAATTTGGTACTTCTGCATTACAAGTTGGTACCACTACTTTCTCAACGCAATTTGAAGCATCCAAGTTGGTACCGCTACTTCTTCCAGACAAATTTGAAGCATCTAATTTGGCACTGCGACTTTTGCAACACATTTGGCGCTACTACTTTTTCAACACAAGTTTGAAGCGTCCAATTTGGTACCACTATTTTTGCAACACAACTTTCAAACAACCAATTTGGTACCGGTACTTTCTCAATGCAATTTGAAGCATCCAAGTTGGTACTGGTACTTTCTCAAGTGCGGATGCTTGAATACTTTGAAGCTACTCGCCAACACACGGCGACACAATTGGGCACCGGCTGATGGTGCAAAGTGCAGGCACACCTTTTATGTCTCGCAAGGCTTGATCCCACCCATGCCTACGGTGGAAGGACAACGTGTTGATCTCATGTGAAAATGTCAGGATCGCTGTTCAATGAGGTACGAATCCATGGGTCAATCGTGGAGAGCTCATCAACCCCATTCCTGAGATCAACATCGGTCCATGGATATCTTTGCTGGATGGCCATCTTCCAACTTCTGCTAAAAATGTCTGCTCTTCATTCTTCAGCGGCCATTCTCTCCAGCTCTTGTTTTCAAAGACGTTTGCCCGAGACGAATTCCTTGTCGAAAATCAGGCGCCATTTTTGCCCACTTGCCAAAAACTGGAGAATAACATGTCTGGAATTTCCCTTAGTTAAACTATCAGCCAACGTCGCATGCCCATTTTACCCACCGGAGGTGAGTATTCACCATCTTGGCTTGGTCGACTGAGATGGTAAGTTCATACCCTGCTCGGGAGCTTCTCAAACCATGCAGGGCTGATGTGTTCTTCATGGAATCAAAGATGCCCTTGCTGTCCATTATGATCGTTCCATGGGTGTTGTCGCGAATCATCTCGTGGATCTTTCTTCTCTCAAGCTGCATGCCGTGGATCTCAGCAATGAGGCCACGGATTCTGAAGCAAAGGTCTTCACATGCTCTGAACTTCAGCTCCGTTGGAACCAAGGGTCTGTCGTGGCCTCTTGGAACCCTTCCAATTCAGCAGTGCTACTTGATGATAGACTTTGAAGCGCAGCCTGCTACAATGCCCATGGTTGACCCTCTATCTGGCCTGTTCGAGTTGTTTGGGTTCATGATGGAAAAATCAAATGCTGTGGTGTGCGCTTCAGCTCTCTCACAATCTTGTTCGCTCGCTGCAACGTGCCAATGGTTGCATATGGCACTTCAGAAAGCAAAAGACAAACATCTGCTTGATATAGTGGACTTGATTGATTGTGATGAACGCCATGCTACTGATCCAATCACTCCTCGTAATTGGGTGATCTCTTCCGGCGTCGCAAGCAGCTTTGGATTTGCACTTCTTTCTTTGGAAATCTCATTCTCATCAATCCACTTCTCAGTGTACTCATTCTGGTCAATCTTGGTAGTATAGCCGCTGGCTTGTGTGATTTTGAAACCAGCAAACGTGAAGGACTCTTCCTCCCATTTGTTCCATCTGAAGGCACCCTCAAGGGCCTTACGGGCAGCTTCAAATTTCTCGTGACTATCGCGTCCTCCAATCAAAAAGTCATCAACATGTAAACCTGCAATGCCAATCAGCTCTGACGAATTACTGAGAAGAATGAAAACACATCGATCTGAAGCTAAACGCTGCCAACCTTGCTGAAGCAAGGTCTTCGCCACATGATCATGCCAAAGACGTGGTGCATGAACCAGCCCGTAGAAGGCCTTTCTGATCTTCAAGGACATGACTGGATTGGACGGTGGTGCTCCAAATAGCACCGCCAATTCGCTTGGTGCCCAAACGTATAGTTCTTCACCTTCTAAATCTTGAGGGGCTTGGAGAAATGCCGAAGTGACATCTCCAGCAGGCACCCTAAACTTTCTATTGGCACATGTCATGAGGAGAGTGTTGCAAGATGTCCTCGCCATGGTTGGTGCCGATGCGGATACAGAAGTGATGCTGTGTGCTTGACAACCGAAAACGACCAATCGGCCCTTCGCCGCTCCATTGGCCTTGGTGGTAAGCACCCATCGCATCTGCATTACTTTCTTCCAATCCATCTCCTTCCATTCTTGGCACGTCAAACTCCTAAGTGCCCGGCTCTGAAGGACGCTGGAAAGTTCTGTGGCCTGAGCCATGTCGAAATCTTTCTTTCGCTCCATGCTCAGCTGACTCCATTGATGCTCCTTTGACTTTTCTGCCATCTTCTTGCTCATCCAGGCTGTGGCCTTGTGAGGCCGCTTCTCCAAAAACTTGACATCGTCCTTGGTGACTTCAATCTCCAAGCAAAAGAATGGGTCATCTCATCTCCTTCTTTGGCCTTCTGTGGATCTTCTGCCTTTGTAGATCTTGGGGTGGAATCTAGCTCTTCTGATGACGAACTGTCACCTGGATCAGAATCCTCCTCCAGAGAAATCCTGCCGCCATATGACGTCCAAGTGAACTTGCGTCCAGTCTCATCTTCATGCGGTCCACTGTGCCCTCCAGGCAGAGTGCATTGTGCTACAGGACATGTGTTGCCTGTCTGTACATCTGAGTTGGGTGGAATGCCATCGACGACATCTGGGCCTCGTTTCTTCAAGGCTTCACCTAGAGTCTCTTGCAGAATGGCTTCACCTGGAATGTTTTCCTGGTTGGGATTCGGCGGTTTGGAGGTCTGTGGGGCAGCCTGTGGGGTCTCCTCATCATCAGCATCCTCAGGATGATCTTTGCGCTTAGCGCCTTGTGGCCATGTTCTCTTCAGTGTCTTGGAAGGTCGTGCTTCAACCTGAACATCTGCACCAGTCACATCTTCAGCCGTCTGTCTTGTTGATGGAACTTCTCCAGTAATGTTGGTGTAGTGTCTTCCAGCGAAGTCGCGAAGCAATGATTCCACCGTCACTGGTTGACGGTAAACAGCTGCTCCAATGACTGTGGCCTCTAGTTCCCCTCTGCGGGTTATCGCTCTAACTTGATTTGTTTTGGCCCGCACCAAAGTTGCTCCATGTGCTAGCCAGAGTGTCGATCCTTCTTGAAGAAGGACTCGGTTAGGTCCGGTCCAATGACCTGTGGTTTTCCCCGGCTTCATCCTCTCTCTCCAAACCATGACTAGAGCACCTGTCTTGTAATAGGAAGGTGGTCGTGTGACCGCATTCTGTATCTCGCCACCTCCTTTCCGCCAGTCTCGCGTCCTCCTTAAGCTTCAGGAGACCGCTGAACGCCTTCTTGGGGTTCAAACCAGGCAGCAAATCCTCTTGTGAGCTAGAGGCTCCTCGCACCCACTGGAACGGGCTGTAGCCGCTCTGGCCAATCACGTTGTTGTGGCCGTGCACGGCTAAGGCAAAGGCTTGTGGAACAGTGAGGTCTGAGTGCTCCTTCAAAAATCCTCACCACTGAATTCTTCAAGATCCCAATGCATCCTTTTTCAGGACCCATCATTCTGTTACCTTCTGCCGGAGCTGTCATAACCCCAATTCCAGAGCGGGAGGCAAAGCGGAGAAACTCCTCAGAAGTGTAGATTGTTCCCGCATCTGGCATCAGCCACATGGGACATGGATTCACCATCAACCAGTTCAGGAAGGAGTTGATGATGTGAGAAGTCTTAGGCTCCCATGCTTTCTTGTACTCTTGCAAATGCTCCACATACGCATATCCACTTGCACGATCTCTCCAAATCACCAGCTTGTCTTTTGTCTTTTCATGTTCAAATTCAAAAACATCTGTTCCGACAATTTCCCAAAGCTGAGGAACTGGCTTTGTCGAAGCAGGTGGTTGAGGCTGAGGCCGCTGCGCCTCAACGCAGTCGGGACACTGCAGAGATCCTGCAAGATCTATGCTCCATTGTGGTGCCCTTCGCATTCTCAAAAGACGCTGCAAATGGCTAAACGAACCATGACCCGAGGACCTATATGGATCCTCATCATCTGCTGTTTGATCAATTCCAACTTCCTCCCCTTCGGAGGCTCCGAAGGAAAAATGGTTCTGAAAGTGCCATGATTGCGGGATCTTCTTCTCGTACTTCTTTGGAAGCTTGATCTAGAAAATTGGAATCGCTGGGAACTTCAAGAAGATACTGCTCAACATCGCTTGCCAAAGAGGTCGTGTGTGTGTGTTGTGTGTGTGTTGTGTGTGTGTGTTGTGTGTGTGTTGGTTGTGTGTTGGTTGTGTGTGTGTTGTGTGTGTGTGTTGTGTGTGTGTGTTGTGTGTGTGTGTGTGTGTGTTGTGTTGTGGTGTGTGTGTGTGTGTGTGTGTGTGTGTGTTGTGTGTGTGTTGTGTGTGTGTGTGTGTTGGTGTGTGTGTTGTGTGTGTGTTGTGTGTGTGTGTGGTGTGTGTGTGTGTTGTGTGGTGTGTGTGTGTGTGTTGTGTGGTGTGTGTGTGTGTGTTGTGTGTGTGTTGTGTGTGTGTTGTGTGTGTTGTGTGTGTTGTGTGGTGTGTGTGTGTGTTGTGTGGTGTGTGTGTGTTGTGTGGTGTGTGTGTGTTGTGTGGTGTGTGTGTGTGTTGTGTGGTGTGTGGTGTGTGTGTGTTGTGTGGTGTGTGTGTTGTTTGTGTGTGTGTACCATCTGAACAGATGTAAAACTTCTGATTGGTTTTCACTAATTTGCAGGGGGGCAGTGAATCTCATTCCATCCACTGCCCAACGAAGACGGTGGTTTGAGATTGTGATATCGGGACTGATCATCCCGACGTACCTGCGCTTGTATTTTTCCGACATAGCAAGGGGCCAAGCTAAGAACCCCAACCACAATATTATACAATTTGCTGCACTGTTGTCGCAATCTGGAATCAATTTTGAAATTTACATGCATCAGAACCTTCCTCAGATTTTCGCCGAAACCATATCGCCGACAGTATTATGTTTTTTGACTTATTTTCGCCGAGACCCTGTCGCCGACGAACTATGGGTTATTTTGGGAAACAATCGCCGAAACATTATTTTGGATTTCAACATGCTGGTCAAAACTCTATGGAATCTGGTTATGACTACGTTTGACAATTTCGGATGCCCTACATCGTTTGCGAGAAGTACCTCATGTGGCTCTTTTATTCATCTAATAATCTAGGCTGGTTTGCATGTTTCAGGATTCAGTTCCTGCCGGATCATATAATGATCCATTCTTGTCTAGTGTGATTTCCATGGTGGCTCCGACATGGTGCCATGGAGCCAATTGAGGCAACCCTTTTCAGGGTGAGTGATGACTGTCCGGACTACCGAATTTACGAATTTTAAGTTGGTAATTCATCTAAGTAAACTGCAACAGCCGGCCATACTGTTTTTCCTGCCTTTTGAGTTTGTCCCGCTGATCTTGCGGTCCCAGGGATTCCTCGCCGATGCGTTTCTTCAACTGTGCAGCCGTTCTGAATTGCCAGAAACCTCCGTTTTTGCAGCAACTTTTGCAGCGTCATATTGCATTATTTCACGACCTATGATCAGGCAGGCACACGACTTTCAGGTGTGGTATTCTTTCCTTTTGGTTCTCTGGTGAGGTGAAACATATTGTGCATCTAATTCGTTGGAACTTGAAAGCTGTTTTATGCCATTGCGGCACGACTTGACCACGGTCCCGGTGCAGGGAATAATTGCACGATTTTGTAGGTAGTTAGGGACTGAATCCTGTATGTGAAACTTTTTACAATTGTCCACTTTTGTTTTGACCTACTGAAGCGATGCATCCGTGGAACACTCCAACATCATGGCCTGCTCCACCACAGCCTTCGAACCCATCTTCGACGTGGCCGCAATCGACACCGAGTGCACATTTATTTGGACATCCCTCGGCTTTGCATCCTACATGGTCATCCTCCGCTTCGCTCATGCCGTCTACATCCGCCCCAACATCGTTGCCGTTCACCTCATTGACTTCGGCTCCTCATGCAGTACCAGGTCCACAACTTGTACCCACCATGCCTTCACCTTTGGCTCCTGAACCAACTATGGTACACACCGCTCCGTCGACTTTTCCATCTCCTATGGCACCTACCGCTCCACCCGCGTGGCCTTCCACTTCGGCTCCATCCCCTACATCGACTACACCACCTACATCGACTATGACACCGACTCCTTTGCCCAGTTCTCCATACCCACCTCACCACATTCAACCTCCATTACAGATGGACGCATCGACGATCCCTCCAAATGAGCCTTCACCACGGCCCCCAGCAGTCAAAGCAGCTCCCAGGCATCGCTCTGACAAAAGACCGGATCGACCGCGCAGACCAGCTCCGAAAACCCCTCCTCACGCTACACCATCGACACCTAAGACAGCACCGACTTCATCCGTGCCACCTGAACTTGCATCCCTGGGTTCCACCGCACAACAACTGGCCGAATCTGTTCGACTTATCCAAGCTCAGCAACTATTACTCATGGATTCTCAACGGGCACAAGAACAACGTCAACTCCTTCTTCAACAAGATGAACATCCACCGAATCCTACACCACAGATACCGCCACCTACACCTACACCACCACTGATCGCCACGCCTCCACCTGCACCAAAGGCCAGACCCACCGAACCGGACGTTCAGGACCATCGCATTGTCCCAGCTCCAACCATCGCTCCTCCTCACCAACCACAAGGTCCACCACCACCAACACGCCGACCACGATCCCGAACTCCAAGATCACGTTCCCATCGACCTTCTGTACATTCTTATCGCCATCGCCATTCTCCTCCACGTGCAGAGCGACCTCGTTCTCCTCTCCCTCGTCATCGATCATCTACGAAACCCGACAAGAGCCGCAGAACACCATCTCCATACAGACGACGCTCACCACCACGACGCCGCTCTCCTGTGGTCCCTCGACGTCACCGCTCCCATCCACGCCCACGCTCCGCGACACCACGTCACCGATCCCGAGGCCGTGAAGTCATACTTCGACCTGCTGCAAACCCATCCAATCCGAACTACATTCCTACTCCTGATGCTGATGACACCTGGGGTACATGGAACGAAAGCCACTACAACGACGCCTACGACCACCACACTGCTCGACCCAATTCTCCTACTGATCCACCACCATCGGAACCACAAACCAACCCACCAACCCACACTTCAGCACCACTCGGCGCGGTGTCCTTCCGAGTTCCGGACGGCGACAGTGAAAATTCTGAGGTTGCTGATACCATTTCGCTCACCAAGTTTGACACGAATGACATCGACCTCGATGAAATGGTGGCGGCGGCCAATGACCCCCATAGAGTTCGATGCCTGACCGAGCTTGGCCCCGATCATGTTGTTCCTCTACGCCAATCATTGACCCCGGCTATCTTGCAGCTCTTCAACCAGTTTGTGGACGCGATGTTCGAACAGTTGGCTAAACCATACCGCACCGTCAACAACCATCGTATTTGGATCAAAGCCAGCCAAGCCACCGTCAGGAATATTGCCAGGGCCTTTGCACAATCCGACTTACTGGACATCGAACTTGCAAAGCAAACACAAGCCTTCTATATTGAGCCAGAGAACTTGCTGACCATCACGGTTCCCACAGGATTGAAGAAGAAACCAATCTACCGTGGCGAACACATGGGCACCTACCTGATCTACCACAAGACAAGTTGGGAATCAGTTGCCAAAATTCTTGCTGAAGACTGCATCCGCCCGGCAACTTGGACAAAAACCGAAGCCGGTATACCGACCCAATACCCGTGTTACGGGTTCTTCGGAATGTCCTCTGAGATCGCAGACACCGACAACCTACCCGGCTATGCTGTCAGGATTTGTACCTCTCAGCTTTACAAAATAGGCAAAGGACAAAACCCATCAGGCCTGCTGGCCATATGCCGCTCACCCAAATGCATCCGTGCCCTAGCTGGAGGAAATGACCAAATCCAACGCTTGTGCAACCTTGCGGGCATCGCCAAGGGCAAAGACAATGCAACGGCTATGAACTCAAGCGCTGCATCTATATGCTACGTCGCCTCCACTCACCAGGTTTTCCCGGGCTTGATCACACACCAGACTGCGGAGACCAATGCACCTTCGGAACCTCCTGATGATTCTGCACGTCCAGTACGACCTGACCCTTCTGCCGACGCCCCAGAACCTTCGGAGCCGCCCCCGGACGACTCTCACAATACACCGAGCCACCGCGAGACCGCTACCTCTGGCTCCCGGGACTATGCTCGCCGATCTTGGCATGACAATGTTGCTTGGGACAATTCCACCTACAACCGCCGAGATCGCCGATCCTCATACTATGACGACCATTCTCGCGACCAGCACCATGAAGGCCGACCTCGTTCTCGACATTCGACCCACCACTCCAAATCTCGTTGGTGAATTCTTTACCCTTGAGGAGTACCAGAACAAGTATCGACTATTCTACGTCGGCGATCCAGTGAGCCTAGTGGCCCCGCCCGATTATTTTGGAGTAACAATGCTTCTCCCGACATTCGGTACTGCTGCCACTTCTTCCTCAAAAGGTTTGTGACTCGCTGCATGCTCATATTGTGGATCCTTGCGCAAGATTCGTTTTCACCTTATGTTTCACACACTGGAACCTCGTATTATGTTTCACTTTTTCACTCGCACACTATCCTTGTCTCACCCTGACATTTCTCGCAGCTTTCATTCGGCAGTTCGAGCGCATTTTGACCTATTGTCTCGTGACCCTCTCTACCTCATGGCGTCCCAGGACCTGATCTCCCAATACAGCGCGGATATGAATGGAATTCCTCCTTCCCAGCCGGATCGCTCGCGCACACCACCTCGTCATCCACATGGTTGGCACCAAGCAGTACCGGCGTTCCGTGGCCCGATGCACTATGCCATGACGACCCATCGACCCTTTTGGAACCCATCCGGAATACCGCCTCCGCCGCCTACGTCTCCATCGTTCCCAACACGCCCACCAT